CCGCCGTCTTGTTTTGGTGATTCCGGTTGATTCTGATGTCTGATTGACGCGCCGTTTGATCTGCTGGATTCCTCTCTTCCAGAGCTTCAGTTTGGTATGTAGATCGTCGTCTGGGTACACAGGGTTTGGGAGATACGTCGCTTTGAAGTCGCTGCAGGGATTAGGGTTTCTGCAGCCGCCTAGAGAGAGGGAGAGAGCTCCGGATTTTTAGCTTAGGTTAGGGCTCGTGCTGATAACGTGTTAAAGAATAAAGAAGAAGGTTGTAACTCTCATAGTATTATTAATCACGTGGTTACACATATATATATACATACAAGAGAATAAAGCATATTCCTTAGGAGATAAGGATTGCTACAAATAAAGGGGATGATTATCCTAATCCTATAATGATTAGGATAACTACAACATATGGATAAATACAAGGGAGGATAATGACANTAAAGGGGATGATTATCCTAATCCTATAATGATTAGGATAACTACAACATATGGATAAATACAAGGGAGGATAATGACAAGTCTTGGCCGCCTGGTATGGATAAGGATAAGGTGCTTGTCGCCTGGTCTTGGACTGAAGTGAGACTGATGTGGTCTGGTCCATTTCCGGATATGTCCCAACCATCATTTCTCAACAGTCTTATAATTTTCTCTTCTATTTTATGTATGTTAAGTATAACAGTGGATGTTTGACAAAAGCTATTTTGATGCAATCACATCTAACAGTGGTTGAAACAACTCGCAGAAAAGGTTTGCAAAAATATAAGTTTTTTAAAAAACTATATACCAAAAAAATGATACAAAAAATAAAATTTGAAAAATTCGAAGTAGACATGTAAAAGAGAAAATGATATGTGAAAAAGAATGGTGCTACTTATTTGGAACGGAATCTTCTTCTTTTTCTTTTCCCCAAATGTTTATAGTTTCCATTTGCATCTCTTTTCTTGAGGAGCTAATACAATGATGATATGTATATACATACATAAAAGGGCAGTTAAAAGAGTTATTTAAACATTTTAACGATTTATATAGAATAGATATGTTAAGCAATAAGCATATTTGTCTAACCTTTAAAATGGATGGGTTCTTGAATAGTGAATACTAGGGAGAATATAATTATCTTATAATCCAATTTCAGTTAAAACATTATTAAAAAGATTTCTGTTATCAACCTAAAAAGAAGTGACATCTAAAAAGGAATTTAATACTTTTGCTATAAATGTTTTTTTGATAAAATCAGTTTGTGCAAAGCATAATATCAAAGTTAGCTTTTACCTTTGTTTTGACATAATAAAGGTCAATATTGGGTGGAAGGACATGAAGCAGTTTTTTGGGCAGATGATTTCTCATGGCATTGAGGAGCCAAAGTCTGTTGTCTACGACTTTGAACTATGCCACGAAAGATATTTACCCTAAGATTTTCGCAGCTGAAATTTTACATTTATTGCTTAGTTTCAATAATATACTTTGTGTCTTTGTGAATTCATTCTGGATATATTCTTTTTCATCATTGTACGACAATCTCCACTAGATGATTCTTTAACTTCCACGATAATTTATTTAAAATTTTGGATTTTGACTTACGGGTTAATGATTTACTAACGTTGCAGATTCAAAAAGAAGTCTTGGTTATGTCTGTTTCATTTTCTTTTCTCATGCATTTTAATTAAAAAACAATCTCGGAAAACAATATACACAATTTATTAGTTAACAATTTTAAAATTAATGAAAAATAATCAAATAATATTTAAATCTCATATAACAATCGAAAGCTTATCATCAATTTTGACACACAAAAATTAAGATTTAAGAGGAAAGAATAATATTATGTTACGATCTATCATCTATATTATTAAAACTCAATATATTTGGTACTATTTAGTAATAAAAAAATGAATGAAAATTGTTTAAAAATATGGATAGTAGATTAAATAATTATTTTTATTTACATATTTAACCATTGCATTTACAATAAATTAAATAGTTTTTTATATTTCTTTTATTAACAGATTCTGATATTGCATTTATTAATTTAAACTAATTAATACAATGGCTGTTGTTTCTTTCTAATGAAAATAAAAACTCAAACTAAAATATATAGTATTATATAAACCTATTTTGAAATACAGTACTACATTTTTTAATTTAGTCAAATATAAAAATTTTGAAAGTTCAATTTAAAAAAAACAAATTTCATAAAACTAACAATAGTTTACAGAAAACTAATGCAAAAAAAATTAAACAAATTTAGTATGTTGTTTCATTAATAAATTAAAAACATGTTAATATGAATAGTATAATTACATCAAATTATATATTTTTAATATAACATTATGTACAAATGTAAAAACATATTATCAAATATCTATATTTTAAAATAATATGGTTTATTCTATATGTAAATTACAAAATATAAAAAAAAATTCTTATAAAATCAGTAATTTATGAATTTACGCTGAACACAAGTTAAATCCACTCGCACGGGGTATGAATCAAGTTCTAGTAATTATTAAATTGTCAACTTAAGAAGATTTATTTGATATACTCTTAATTTTAAATTGATATATAGTATACTATATTTCAATTTCTCTAAAATATAATGTATTAGTTACTCAATTGAGTAATATACATATATATATATATATATATATATATATATATATATTATCAGCTAGGAAATTTATGCACTTTATTCACCTTCATGTCTTTTACTTTAATGTAATTTTTTTTTTCCTTTTAACTTATCACCTTGATTGGACTTATTAGCTCTACGTGAATGTTACAAATATAATGTAGTTTTTTTTCTTTAAAAAAATCACTCTACTAAGTCGATATAATTGTGTATTTGTTGTGTCCACCTCGTGGTATATATGTAGGCACATATTACAGAAAGAAACGCACCAACGCCATCTAGCATACGGAAGATGGGAATTTCCTCAGATGATTTATGGAAAATTCACATACTCGAAAATTATAATGGGGAAAAATACGAAGTAAAATTCGAGATAATATTCCAAAGAAGATAGAATGATGAAAACGACGACCCAATTTTAATTCGTAGGTCCAAAATTTTACTAGCGCCTCTGTAGGGTATAGCCATGGATATAGATGATTAATTACCCTTGGCTTCTCCCTATAAATTGAGCCCATAAGTATTCATAATTCATCAGTTGATATCATTGAATCTTGTGGCTTTATATATAGATACACATTTTAATCTATATATATATTATACTATATATATTTATATATATATCTACATTTAGTGAAATATATATACATATATTTATTTTATTGAATATTATGAAAAGGAACAACATAACTAAAAATCAAGCCATTTACTTACATTTGTTGTGTATGCTTTATTTTCTTCAACCCATTGTGCAGTTTAACAGAAAAGTATATATAAAGGTAAGGATTATAAAAACCACTTAAGTGAAAAGATTACTGTTTATGTCCATTGGTGAAGATGTTTTGTTCATCACAATTTCGAACTCACTTGTCTCATTGTCTCCTTCTCCTTCTTCATCTTCATAATCATCTTCATCACTCTCTCCTTCCACTTCACCTTCTTTATTACCAACTTTGTCCCTCCCATCAGTCTCAAATTCAGTTTGGGTTTCTTGTGGAAGAAGCAACTGTTTCTGCGGAGTCACCATTGGAGGCAACATTGGCAATGCCCCACTTTTGTTCCTCTCGTTGTACAAAGCTTCAAGCTGGTGAAAATAAGGGCAAGTCTTGGAATCAATCGATCGTTTCTTGTTGCTCTCTTTGACTTTCTTGAAGTACTTGTTGATGTTTTCCCACTTCTCTTTGCATCGTTTTGCACTTCTATTGTATCCCAATCTTCTCATCCCTGCTGATATCTCTTCCCATAATGGTCCCTTAGTACCGTTTTCTTGATAGTTAGCTTCAAGATTCTTCCTTATCCTTATTAAGGCTTCCACCTCGGTCTTAGGCCATCTTGATGTACTAGGAGATAAAGAATGGTTCCCCATCTTCAATGTTGTCTCTAATAGAACCGGCCTAGCATCTTTACTCTCAAATGCTATTGAATGTTGTTCACTTTGATATTGTTTCCTTTGTGGTACTTTATGATTCTGCTGCGGTTGCGGTTGCTGTTGCGGTTGCTGTTGTGGTTGTTGTTGTCCTCCAGAGATTTTGTGTAAGAAGGATATGATTGCAGCGTCTTTAGCTGCGGCATTAGACCTCTCATGGACAAGTGTTTCGTGTTCTCTATTGATTCTCGTTACCTCCTGAACCCTCCAAGCTTCTTCTCTTGAGATTTTCTCTTTCTCTCGATTCTCCAATGTTTCCAAGAACCTTTTTTGCATCTTCTCTTGCTTCTCCATCAGCTCTTTTGTTAACTTGGTAAACAATCCTTTCCAATATTTCCTCTTCTTTCTCGATCTCTTTTCATGATCTTCTTCCTCGTCAGAGGCAGTAGATGAAGAAGTAGAGCTTGAGAAAAGATTCAGTGAAGAAACATTGTTTATCAAATCATTCGAAGTTGGTTTAAGACTAGTAACAAGTGGAGTTGTATGGTTGTTGGTGTAAAAAGGGAAAGGTGTTGTAGGAGACGGTTGCTTGGCAAGGAAGCTAGGGTTTGTGGCGATGGGTTTCACATTAGCCTGATGATGTTTCAACGGTGAAGAGGTCTTTTCAGTTGATGGATTGTTAGAGCTAATCCACGGTATCAAAGAAGTTGTTGCGGTTGCGGTTGCCATTGCGGTAATGGTTGTGGTTGTGGTGGCTGCAGGAGAATAGGAATTGAGAGTCTCGAAAGCTTCTAACTCTTCGAAGAACCGGTAAGTTTTGCCTTCAGGTTTACCGGTACGACCTTCTTTGGTACGTTTGTGATACTTGTAAACGTTCTCGAACTTTTCTTTGCATTTCTTTGCACTTCTCTTGTAACCAAGCTCCATCATTTTCCTAATTATTAATCAAACAATAAAACTGTACGTGAGAAACAAAAATATCTAATTTATTCTAAGATATTTACATGTAAAAATTGTAATTACCCTATAAAATATAATTAGCTAGACGTATAGGAATAATAAAATGAAATTACCGAAAATATGATAAATCCATAAATATGTGAAACGTATATACAAGATCATAAAATTTTCTGTTTATTTCTTCAATAATAAATATGCATGTGTAACACAACAAAAAAACCTGGAGATTTCTTCCCATAAAGGAGCTTTGAGAGTAGAGTCACGAAAAGATTTATCCATCTCTGAACGTATTCTCAAGAGAGCTAAAGTCTCCGGTCTTGGCCACCGGCTTCCTCCTCCTCCTCCACCAGCACCTACTTCGTTGGTGTCTTCCATCTTCATGTCTTTCTCCTCCTCTCCTGAACCGGCTACACCGCCACCGGAGCTATCTAACAGTCCTGAAGAGTTTCCAGACATACTTAAACCTTTTAGTTTGGATCTTTTCAAGGAAAGATCAGGTTAGGAGAGTTTGAAGAGAAGACGAAGGTTGTGGTTGAATTTTCTGTTCTTTTTTTTTTCCTATTGTGATTTTATCAGAGGGGTATTTAATTGGGTGGGATGGACCATTGATCTAAATCATATAAATATTATACATCTTTTGTACGTGATATTTATTTTGTATATTTTTTTTCTTCTATTTCACACAAAGAGGAGTGGGACTTAAAAGGGAACTTGTTTCGCTTTCCTTCTGTCTTTTTAAATTGGGGAATCTTCTCATTGCTTATAAGAAAATTTTGGTACCAAAAAAATTAATTTCATATAAAATGAAAATTTTGGTATATTTTATCTTATAAGGTGTATGGTTGGTTCATTGTAACATCTGATTAATGATTGCTTGGTCAGACTTTTTGACAATATTTTTTTTCAGAAATTCGACATGGATTTTATTACCAAAGTGGTTAATTTTTTAAACAAGTTTGAAGTTCATGATTTATGAACTGTTGAACTGAAATTTGCATGATCCGATATTAGAAGCAACTGCTCTTTACAACAATTCATATATTTTATTATGCATATATAAAACGTATTATAACGTGGATGTATAATTGGACGGTATGAGGTTACTGACCCACTTTGCCCTTCTGACCTGTAAACTATTTAGATTTTTATTTCTCTGTTTACACGACTATTCTAGAGAGAATTATATATTTGGTTACAACACAAGTATATAGTATAATTCATGGTAAATAGCTAAATAAACAATTAAAATGATGACTCGGATTGAAATAATATAAGATTATGAGCTGTGGAGAAGCCTAAGAATATTATTACAGTGGTGTTTAAAATGATTGATACCATAATGATGCTTTTGGTTTAAATTATTAAATAAGTGGAAAAAAATAATCAAAGGTAATCAGCAGGAACAGCTGCAGATAGAGACGATAGGGATAATATTCGTGTAGCGTGGGCCCACGTGGACCTAGATTAGCTTCTCACCGCTAGGCCTGGGCACAAGGCAAGTACCCGGCATTTTTGCGGTACTTGCTACTCGGCTTGATTTATTTAAGTAGTTGTATATTTGACTTGTACTTGGCTTATTCTTAACAAGTATTTGTGATATCAAGTACTTGTAAATTTCTAGAATACTTGCAGATTACTTGGTTTGGTTTTTTACTTGATTTTGTTTTATATTTGCCTTGGTTTGATATTATCTTCTCAATTATTTAATCTATTTTCTTTGACTACTTAAATATAAAATATTTGAAACCCAAAACACAATTTCATATACACATACAAACTCTTAAGCATCAGTTATTAAGTATTTTACATACAAGCTAAAGACAAAATACCCATAGACATTGACAATATACAAAAACCAAAATATTCTTTTCTAGTTATTTGGATACTAGTCCATCCAAATGTCAATGCCAAATTCCAAAAGCTACTTGTTCGGTTCCTGTATTTTACAAGTGACAACAATCATCACAATAAGAGGTAGAAATTAGTTATTGAAGAACACAAAACACGTAAGTTGGTGAATCTACAAATACATTTATGCATAACTTGTTACACAGACAGAAATTGGGAAGTTCAAGTAGATCAACTACCTTTATTTTCTAAGTTACATTTTTCTTTTAAAAAACCTTAAAAAGGCACGAAGGCCAGAGTACAGAACAAAAGGCTAAGACTTTATTTCTTAGTATCATAGGAGCAGTAGCAGAACTTACTGTATAATGTTAAGTTAGCAAAGAAAACAAGAATATGTAATTTTTAAGTTTTAACGTGTGATGATATATAACAAAGGAAGAGTTAAAACAAAGATTTTGAAACACCACGTAGATTTAAAGTAAACATTTGCAAGTTGCATACAAAAACATGAAACAAAGAAAGTAGTTTTTACCTTCATTCCTCGTCCATAGTTAAGCTAACTCCTTGGACCAAGTTTCCATACAAACCAGAAGTTGTAAACTCTGTCAAACAAAACAAGTTTTGTAAGATTATAAAATATATTTATAAATAACTAAAAGCAAGCGTATACCATTTTCTAGGATTTCAAGTTCTTCAATTTGGTCTTCCAGCGAACTTTTGTCATAGTCATTGCGTATCCAATCTTGAGTGCAAATTAAAGCTTCAACCATTCTAGGGGTGAGAGAACTGCGGAACGGATCAATGACACGACCACTTGTGCTAAATGCTGACTCAGACGCAACGGTTGAGACCGGTATAGCCAAAAGGTCTTTAGCCATTAGAGAAAGAGTTTTGTACCTTGATCCTGTCTTCTTCCACCATAGTAAAACATCAAATTTGGGATCTGATCTAGGAACACATGCTTCAGTCAAATAGCTCTCCAACTCAGATTGATAAACAGAATTTTCTTCACTTTCTTCATGCATATCAATAAGAGAATCAAGGTCATAAATATCTGCAGCTTCTTTCACTACCTCTGAAGAAGTGTTTGCTCCTTGAACATGGCTACTTTCTGGTGAAGAACTAGATGCTTTAGCTTGATAGTATTTGAACATCTTTTCTATAACTGTGTTTACTTTCTCAATCAAGGCTTCAGCTATGTTATCACCACCAGAACCATAGCTTTCACGGATAAACAAACTCACATACTTCATCTTATACCGAGGATCAATAACACAAGCAACAAAAATCATTAAGTTCATGTTCTCCATATCTCCCCAGTATTTATCAAACTTTGCTTTCATCTTAACAGCCATTGCTTTCTGATTCAGATCAACTTTGTTCAGCCCAAGCTTTCGTATCATTAAACCAACCCCAAATATCTCCTTCAGATACATATTCCCAGTGACGTAACGAGTAGCTGAAACTTTCAAAGTGGCATCATAGAAAAACTTGAGAATAGGGGCATATGTCTTTGCATAATCCCAATCTGATTCAATAGGTGCACCTCCTAACTTCCCAAGTTCTACCAGAAACTTATCATCTTCCAACTCGAGCATATCAAAACCTCTTTTTAGTTTTAAGGCTGACTCTAACATCAAATATGTAGAGTTCCATCTTGTCTCGACGTCAAGAGACACACCAGCAGTAGACGAAAGCTTAAGGTGAAGAAGACATTCTTTGAATTTATCTGACCTTGCTGGAGAAGATCTAACATACCGAACAGCAGAACGTATTCGACTAATCGAAGCTTTATTTTCTTCTAATCCATCTTTGACAACCAGATTTAAGATGTGTGCACCACATCTCATGTGAAGAAATTCACCATCAAGTAGAGAAGTACCCCATGACTTAAGTCTTCTTCTTAAGAATCTGATTGCTACATCATTTGAACTTGCATTGTCTACTGTGATTGTAAAAACTTTGCTGATTCCCCAAGACACCAAGCATCTCTCAACCATTTTCCCAATTAGTTCACCTTTGTGACTCAGAATTTGGCAGAAGTTAATGATTTTTTTCTGCAGATTCCAATTCTCATCAATGAAATGTGCGGTTAAGCACATGTAGTTGATGTTCTGAACTGAAGTCCAGGTATCGGTTGTAAGCGAAACACTCCCTTTGTGATTCTGAAAGAACACTTTCAACTTTTTCTTTTCTTCAAGAAACAAACTGAAGCAATCTCTTGTGATAGATCTACGAGACGGGATTTGAAACCGAGGCTGCAGAACATATATGAATTCACGAAAACCTTCCTTCTCCACAACTCTAAAAGGCAACTCGTCCTTTATAATCATTCTGACTAAACCTTTTCTGCAGTCATCTTTATCATACTGTAGGTATGATGGAACTGCTTCCTCATCCTTATTTTTTTTGGGTTGATGCATTAAGGTTGCTTGCTTAACTCTTTTACCAGCAACAGTCTCAACCTCAAGCTCTGGATGCAGCTTTTTACACCTTATCATATGTTTCAACATAGTACTAGTATTGACACCAGACGGTGATCTAATAGTAACTAGTTGACCACAATGATTGCATTTTGCTTTGTTTCCATCTTCTGTTCTCTTAAAGTTTTCCCAGGCCTTAGATCTTTCCTTAGGAGTTACCTTAGATTCAACGTCAGCTGTTGGAGCTGTTTCACCACCATACTCTGTATCCATTTCCTCTGCATCAGCTCTTGGATGTTCTTTACGTTTCTCCGGTTCCATCTACGCATAAACATTTACAAAAAAAAAGAAATAATCATTAAGCATCTATACATAAATAACCGACTGGAAAATCTCTTTTTTAAATATTCATCTTAGAACTGAACAAGTCAAAGTAAATCAAATCCTAAATGAGAGATTATGAGGGTCAAAGATAGCAATTATAATTTAAGATCAAACAACTTACGATAGTGAGGTAAAGAAGCAAACTGAGTTTCGACTTTCAAACCCTAACTCTCTTGGTTTCGGCTCCGTAAAAATATCTCGTGTGAAAAAGATCTGTGTGAAACACAGAGTTTTACTTTTGACTCTATATAAACGCAAGAGTTTTAATTGGGCTTAAACAATTGGTACTAGCCCAATAATTTAGTTTTGTTGGACTTAATTCAAATTCAGTATTATTATTAAACACACCATTCCTTTTTAGTTGTGATGGAAATACAATACATTAGATAATTTTTTTAATTAACTAATAAAGTATATATCAAATATTGAATAAACTAAGTATTATATAACAAATAACGAAACAGGTAATTGATAACAAGTAACGAACCAAGTAACAAACCAAGTAACAAGTCAAGTAGTTAAAAATAAAAATAGACTTGATACTTGACTTGTACTTACGAGTAATAAAATTTGTTTACTTGTTACTCGACTTGTTTATGCCAAGTACTTGATTTTTCAAACCAAACCGAGTCAAGTAGCAAGTATAAACCGGGTATCAAGTAATAGTGCCCAGCCCTACTCACCGCCGCTGGATCAAACCGCAAATTATTCACGTCACCGACTTGATTTACCTCTTTACCCCCCAAATGTTGACCTCTCTAATCTAATCATGCAACTAGTTTATGTAACCAATAAACCCCACGTCATTCTGCACCGTCTATATTTATTATGATATTTTTTTTCTTAAATATAAATGGTGAAACATTGCATTTTTATGATTTTTTATTGACGATAGAGGTAGAAAAGGGGGTGTGGTGTAGTTAATAAATGTGGAAGTTTTGATGTAACATCAAATTACGGTATTAAATTAGACGTGGAGTTAGATAAATGTCTAAGTTCTAGTATATGGTTATTAGGCGGATATCAACGCATTTATGAGAAAAAGCAAGTAGAGACATGATTTAGTTAGCTTATGACCTACCTTATTTAATGGTATTGAAATATTCCGGTGCCTAATAACTATAATGTATCTTTTTTACGTAAATATTTTGTTGTTTCTTCCGCAACCACTGATTATATATTCACTTTTTAATTCATTTTTGTTCTTGTATTTTCATGTCATGTCAGTGAAGATCAACGTGTTCTCGTTTGTACACACTTATGTACTAGATAATCAAACTGAATAACGTAAACTTAACTTGGAACATAAATGGAAAACAATCAAGCCTAATTTTCACTGGTCGATTTTAGACTATAAGCTTTTACAACGATGAACTTACACTAAATGTATTATCTTGAATTATTTCTGCAATTTCAAAATCTATTTTTGGCAAAAGAAAAGCGACGAACTTGTTAAAATTATAATTTAAGTATGTGTAGTTATTGACGGGATCGAGATGGTTCATATGATGCATTTCTATATATAGTTCCATCTACTTTATCTTAAATTTATTATCAGAAAATATAGTTACAAGAATTTCTGAAATTTTACATTACGATTCTGATATAATAGTTTTGCATTATAAAGTCATGGCCGTATTTTTTTAATGTATAGCCATGATAAAGACAACTGTATAAACATTTAGGAAAGCAATCACATTATAGTTATGGAGATGTTTTGTTTAAGTATAACAAAACATTAATAGGAGAATGGACAATCTTACTGTCAGTTTGTTTGTTGTCTGAAACACCAAACTCACCTTCTTTACACCGCATTTCTCTCCTCTCCTTTTTTCGTATTTGGTTAATAATCATTTTAATTACTCATACTACAATTATTTTATTTCATAAAATTATATTTTATATTCTAATTATTAATTTGCTTTTAAATCGACAAGGGGATAAAAAACTAAAAGCAGTGGTTACAATGAGCTGGATTCAGATGTATTTCCACTACGTATGGCTCTGTAAAGTGACCCCAACTTGATCCCTTTCTACGTATGTATACAATACGCCGTTTATCTTTTATATCTACACAAAAATATTTTTAAAATATAATTGAGAGTACATTGGATATATATATATATATATATATATATATATATATATATATATATGTGTGTGTATGTATAAACAGTCCATAGTAGGAAAATAACCAACTTGAGTAGTGAATAATGTGATCGACATTTAGGCATACGTAAGATGCATGTAACAAAAAAAGAAGATACATGTAAAAATAGAAGCTTTTATTAGGGTTAACTTTCATGGTATAATATTTAATAAATCCCATTATATATCACCGAAATGGCTGATGAATAAGACAAAATTGTTTTCATTAAATATCACCGATCAACTCCTATTTTTCGAGGATGGTACCAATAGTTCTAAGCTCTAATTACTGCATAAAGTCTACCTGTACTATCCTTTTGCACAATCGATTTGACAAAACAAATTAAATGTTGCTATTTTCTGCTACTTATATTACGTATTTACATGTTAATTTCTATACGGCAAAGTATTTGTATTATGATTCATTAATGTTCAATTTTTTTGTAAGATCAACCAAAATAGCGCGGCGATACCAACCTTACGCGGAAAATCATGAGCCGTTAAATTAGTATGACGTGTCAGATTAATGACTGTCCAATATGTCTAAGTCGTACAATGGTTAATTTCATTGACACGTGTACATTGTTGTCGCTGATTCGATGTGATATTTTCCACGTAGGATATTGTGTTCCGCTTACATGGACTCTTCAAGCCTTTTTCTTCTGTCCGAAATTAGTTACTTTTTTTCCAACAAACCATGTGAAAGCAATAATACGAAAAAATAAAAAATTCCTTAATATAGCGAAACCACTTTATTCCATTTGGAAACAATATCACGTCGAGAAAATAATTCCGTGGCCAATGGACAATTAATGTTAAAAGATTTTTCATATATTGGTACACAAAATAACTAAGTTGGTTCATTATTATTTTATAATTAAACTGTTGACAAAACAAAAAAAACTGGTAAACAGCATCTATTTTTACTATGAGTATTCAAGTTATGAAGTTTGTAGAAAAGGAAAATGTATAATATTTATATATTAAGGAAGGTCAACCTCATTTGTCATGCCAAGTTCGTTACCATCCATCGTTATCAGCCAGATCATTGTCAACTACAATAATTGGAATAATTGACATATTTTGATCTTACCGTAACCTTACTTGGCTTGACCCAAATAAAAAACGTAAACTACAATAGAAAAACTTTATTTATTAGATGGACCCATTATTAACTTTTATTGATTTTCTTATTGATAGCACTTAAATTTACGATGGTATTCTTTTTCTTTGGGTCAATTATTTCTCCCGAGCATCGTGGTTTTGTACATAATGTATGTTCCCACTACGTTTGCTTAATGGTTCAAGAAAATGGTTTTAAGTTTTGGGCCTTCACATATTAAAAGGCCTTGAGATTAGGCCTAACTGGCTACTTCCGATTCCAGTTATCATCATTGAGTAATACTTCAAAATTATTGTGAGGTGAAGGGCCTGGCCTCCATGATGGCCTATCTAGCTTCCAGTTTTCGATTTGAAACTTTATGGTTTTAACTTTTTGTATGAATCTACCGAGAATCTTCATGTCATTTTTGGAGTAACTAGTCTTCGATGAACACTTTAAAACTTGTATTTGTCACCGCCATTTAACACACAAACGCTATAAAAGAAAAGTTAAGAACGCAACTTTTAACAACGCCAAAGCCGCTCTTATGCTAGAAGACTTCATTAGCTAAGAACGAGAGCAAAAAAACGGGTATGGGACGGCCGCAACTTATCGAAATTAGAGAAGCTCCAAGACTTGCAAAAGCGATATCAAAGCAACACCACCATGACGTGCCTTACCTGCCACGATGTTGTCGCTTTCCAAAATAAAACATATATCTAGAAAATTTATTCTTGTTGTCATCTTCTTATAACTCGATTCTGAGCTAGTTGTTCCTAGCTTGCAAATCGTTCACAGCATTGATTCCATACAATATTTAATAACACAACATAAAAAAAAATCAACACAGAAATCCCCTCAGAGTAAAGTATAAATAGCTGTCTTTAATGACGAGAGTGTGTAGTTCAACTAATCTCGTCATGGCTTGATCAATCTTAGCCGTTCAAAATTTAAAGAATAAATACAACACTTTTTTACCTTATCCATTATCCATATCAATCACATTCTCACGTAATCTATCTTAAAATATAAATTAGATAATAATACTGGAGACTATTTTTTTGTTTGGAGAATATAACTAGCACTTTCTTTATGGTAATGGAAACTGAAAAACGGTGAGAATAATGAGAAGGTTGAAGAAAATTGAGCATAACCAATGATAGTGGAATTTCAGTAATAAAGTGAAGTCCAATCAAAGGGATAATCATTTTTGCTACATAAGTGATAATATGCAAAACGCTTTTTGAGTATGAGACTTGTCGTTTCAACATTGATCTACACTAATTGAATTGATTGATTGCAGCCAAACACGAACATTCTTGAGTTGCGGTTATAAGAGTTTGATGTAATAAAAGCGTTAGAAATGAATTCAACTATGGACTACTTTCTTTATTTTGTTCGGCAGAAACAATCATACACTACAACGATTATTTCCTCATTGAACCATCTAAAATTGTGGGACTAGTGATTGATAAAATGTTTAATTAATAGCCATTAATATATAGTACTAGTATTTTCTTTTGCATTTTAAAATAATAATTTCTGAGATGGTAACTTATATATAAAATACAAAAAAATTCCAAAACTATACGGATAATTTCTATAAAAAAATAATTTCCTGGATATTTTTTCAAGAAATGAGAACCAGAGAGAAGGTCAACGGCTAAAAAATCAACTTGCTGAATATATATATTTTCACTGGTCAGTGGATGTATTATAGTTGTACTTGCATTAACATTTATTTTGTTTTATTACAAACCATCCGTTTTATTAAATTAATTTAATTTATAGCACAAGCAGAGAGTACTGTAGTGGAGTAAAAAAACAGTTTCTTAAAATATTTTATTATAAAACTAAGGAAAAAAAAAAAAAAAAGAGAGATGTGTTCGTGTTCCTGTTCGTGTAGCGGAGATAACGTAGTTGGTTTCCGCGTGCTCGAGGTGGACGAGACATATAACCTCTAGAGAGAGAAATAAAGAAATAGAGACACAACAAACTCTAAAGCAGTTGAAAACGGAGAAGACGAGTAAAAACAGAACAGAAGCTTTGTAAGTTTGTTCTAATTGTTTCTTTGTAAGTTTTACAAAAAAAATTCAAGATTTATTTTAGCTAATGGTTACAGATCTGTGCTCTGTGTTCTGTATTCTTGATTATGAAATATCATAGATCTTTTTTTCTTTGTAATAGACCAATTTTAAGTAAAGGTTTCAGCTTTAACCAATTAACTTCGTTAGGTAAGCAAAAAACCCAAAACTGTGATTATAAATCCTGAATCAATTAGTCTTTGTTTCCAAAACTTGCTATTTATGTAATAAATATCCAAAGTTTCCTTCTTTTTGCTATCCTTGAATTAGTAAAGACTTTATCTTTTTTTTTTTTTACTCACAATTGAATCCAAAGAATATAGTTCAGATGGTTTAAATACAACTTTGAATCAGATCTCTAATGTTTGGGACCGTTATTGTTCTTGGGAGGAGCAGAGACTGTTGTTTACTTTGTTTTTGTTTACTTTTGCTTTTTTTTTTTACTTACTTCGAAGATTCTTTCATTTGAAACAAGGTTTTGTTTATGTTCTATCTTTTATTACAAAAGCCTGTGTTGTTTCCTGCTTTAAACAATGTTCTCTCTTTATTTCTAATGTTCCTTTCTTTCTTCTCTTCTTTCTCTTTGCTTTCTTCTTAAGCCTCTAAATTTTGAATCCAAGTGTACTTTTGTTTGTGTGTGTTTCAGAACTTTCAAAGAGAATACACCAAAATGTCGTTCCGTAGCATAGTTCGTGATGTAAGAGACAGTATAGGAAGTCTATCTCGACGTAGTTTCGACTTTAAATTAAGCAGCCTGAACAAAGAAGGTGGTGGTAAGTCACGAGGTTCGGTACAAGACTGTCACGAGGAACAACAACAACAGCAACAACCTTTAGTGCTGGTTCAAGAAACTCCTTGGGCTAATCTACCTCCTGAGCTGTTGAGAGATGTGATCAAAAGGCTGGAAGAGAGTGAGAGCGTGTGGCCTGCAAGGAGACATGTGGTTGCTTGTGCTTCTGTTTGCAGGTCATGGAGAGATATGTGTAAAGAGATTGTTCAAAGGCCTGAGGTTTCTGGCAAAATCACATTTCCTGTTTCACTCAAACAGGTAAAAAGGATATTTGATTCTTTTTTCTTTTGAGTAATGTCTCACATATGTTTAGTATCATGATTTTGAGTACATTTTTTTTTCTTGTTTTGGTTATGTGTATATAGCCTGGACCAAGAGATGCAACAATGCAATGCTTTATCAAAAGGGATAAATCTAATCTGACTTACCATTTATACCTTTGTCTCAGTCCTGGTATTAGCTTCTTTTCCTCTCTTCTTGTCCTAAGTTTGTGTTATGTTTTTGTGATGTATGGAAGCTTATAGGGATTTAAAAATATTGCTATATCAAAAGCTTTATAGAAATCACTTTATATAGGCAAAATTCTGACGACTAAACACCAAAACAAATAAGAGAAAAACTTGAAAACCAAATAAATTCTATCTAAAAACATGATTATTATCTTAATATAAATAACTAAGATAAGTACATAACAAATATAATAGTTACACTATAGATTAATCATGTTTATCATTTTGTCTCATATTGGTGGTATTGTTACTATTTTCAGCATTGTTGGTTGAGAATGGAAAGTTTCTTCTTTCGGCGAAACGCATTAGAAGAACTACTTACACAGAGTATGTCATCTCAATGAACGCAGACACCATTTCAAGATCAAGCAACACTTACATTGGCAAGATTAGGTAACAAAACTAAACGAGACTTGTCTTTATTTTTATATCATTCTTTTAAACGTGGCTTAAAAGCGTGATTACTCTTCTCAGGTCTAACTTTCTAGGGACAAAGTTCATAATATACGACACACAACCTCCACACAACAACGTCAACAACAAAGCCACTCAAGCGGTTCAACCGTTAGGACTTAGCCGCAGGTTTTACTCAAAGAGAGTATCACCTAAAGTCCCTACATGTAGCTACAAAATAGCACAAGTCTCTTACGAGCTAAACGTTCTTGGAACACGAGGTCCTAGGAGAATGCACTGTGCTATGCACTCTATCCCCGCTTCTTCTCTTGCAGATGGTGGAACCGTGCCTGGACAACATGAGATCCTTGTCCCACGCTCTATTCTTGATGAGTCTTTCCGCAGCATTACATCCTCAGCCTCCTCGTCTAGGAAGTTTATTAGTGATTACTCAGCTGAGTTTAACAGCGCGAGGTTTTCAGACATTCTTGGCCCCTTGGGAGAAGACCAAGAAGCTGTGTTTGAAGAAGGGAAAGAGCGTGTTTCGCCGCCTCTTGTGCTTAAGAACAAGCCGCCTAGGTGGCATGAACAGCTTCAGTGCTGGTGTTTGAACTTCAGAGGACGTGTGACCGTTGCATCGGTTAAGAACTTTCAGCTTATTGCAGCAAACCCACCACAGGCTCAACCTCAGGCTCAGACTCAAGCTGATGGTCCGGACAAGATCTTGTTGCAGTTTGGGAAAGTAGGGAAAGACATGTTCACGATGGACTTTAGGTATCCGTTGTCAGCGTTTCAGGCTTTTGCTATATGTTTGAGCAGTTTCGATACAAAACTTGCATGCGAATGATAACAAAAGAAAGAAAGAAAGAACAAGAGACGGGTTTGTATGTAATATTTAATATCAGATGTGGTTTGTATGATTCAGGAGATTCTCTTCTTGTGGTGTTTTTATTTTTCACCTGAGAATCTTAGATATTAGATTTGTTTCAAGAATCTCCATTTGATGATTTATTCTTATCACTGCCTTAGGTTGTTTTATTAATGCATCAAAAGATAGTTTGTCCAAGTTTGATTGGCAAAAGTGACAAAAACAATAGTCTTTAATCTTTTCATAAAAATGTAACAATAATTTTTTTTTTTTTTTTGCGCTACTTATAAAATGACATGTATATGATGAGTATATAACTCATGATTGTTTTTAATAAAAATCCATTTTCACTTTTTAATCTCACTTGTTCACTATTTTGTAGTTTAAAAACCATTTTCACTTTTAATCTTATACTAGATCTCGACCCGCACAACCGTGCGGGTTTTCTTTTTATTTATAATTTATAAAAAAAATTATTAATAAATAATAATATATTTACTTATAAAATCGTGCAAAATATTAAAATAATAGATGTAAAAGTATCATTTTTAAACATAACAAAAAATATAAATTATCACTAACAAATATTTATCTATAGTGTATCTAAA